CCCCGCCAGGCGCCCAGCCAAAGCTCTAGACGCGTTTTGAGCTCCAGAGTCGCTAAACAGGACTCGAACCGAACGTGTGACCCCACCAATGGACTCCTCGTTCGGAGAGCAATTGGTGGGGTCACACGTTCGGCTCGAGTCCCATTTAGCGACTCGGGAGCACAAAACGCGTCCGGGGTTTCGACCGCCTCCACCGGTCTTCTGGCCCACTGTGCCTCGCCGGGCCAGGCCGCCACACCGCCAAATCCGCCCCAAAGCCGGCGACGCGACACTGTCCAAGTATTTTAATTACCACCTGAGTGGCCCGACCAGTGGCCTGCCAGTGCCCCGCCAGTGCGGCGGCCCGCCCCGCCACAAGAAATCTTAATTAAACTTTCTCGTTTCGGGGTGATTAACCAAGAGGAAAAATGCGTAGCGGCGGCGGCAACACCGAAAGAGGATGGCCAAATAAAATGCCGAGCCCAGCGCGGCGAGTGTGCACACTGGCAAATAAATCACAGACAGAGCAGGGCGGATGGGAAGGTGTGTCAGCTTGACGTGTGGCGGGGCGGGGCGGGGCGGGGCGGGGCGGGGCGGGGCGTGGCGGGGCGGGGCAGGGCGGGGCGGGGCGGGGCAGGGCGGTGCGGACGCCAGCCTCTCTCCGAAAGAGCCACCAAACTTCGTCCATTAATCAAAGGTGCCACGGCCTCATCGGCAGCCCTTCTCTGATTGGTCGCTCTCCTCACAGTGCCGTGCCGAGCAGCCTCGCAACATGTTTCTACCCACCACTTTACCCCGGCCATCCCGGCGCTTCCGCCCAGATCCTCCTCCTTGTGCGGATTCCCCCCCCCCCTCTCTTTCTCCCTCCCCTCCCCCTCCCCCCGGGCCGCACTTCCCGTGTCAAGTACTTTTCGTGTCCGGAATACCGGAGGGGTATATATATGGCCCCGCCGACCCTCCGTCAAGTCAAGGTGACCCCGCACCGGAAAACCGGCTCGGCTCGGCTCGGCTCGGCACGCCTCGGCTCGGCTCGGCTCGGCCCGAGAGCAGGAAGCACGCTGGATTGGCGGGCTTCATCTTGTTCTCCGGAGATGTGGCGAAGATATAAAGGGAGGGCACACTGTATCGCCCGGCCGACGGGCCGGATCGGCCGAGGGGAGGGGGAGGGGGTAAGCCAACAACAACAACAAGGAGGGAAGGTGGCGCGTCCCGGCGGGGAAGCATTGGGTGCGGCGATCGCACAAAAAAGCAAAAAACAAAAAACAAAAAAAACACAAGTAACAACAACAACAAAGACGCTTCCAACGAGGACGGCCGCGCATCGCGCAAGTTGATGCCGCTGCCTCCCATGCATCCCGGTGTTGTTGTTTTTTTTTGTTTTTTTTGGCATTCACACGGTGCTCGCCCTGCCGCACAGTGGGACAGAAGACCGGTGGAGGCGGCCAAAACTCTACTCTACAAACTGAAGTGTGTACTCAGTATGCATCTACAGATGCATACTTACAAGTACACACCTACAGATGCATACTAAGCTGGGTACACATCTACAGATGCATACTCAGCTGAGTACACGTCTACAGATGCATACTAAGTTGAGTACACATCTGCAGATGCATACTTGGAGAGGTTAGGTATGCATCTGTAGGTGTGTACTTGCAAGTATGCATCTGTATATGCAGAGTCGCTGAACAGGACTCGAACTGAACGTGTGACCCCACCAATGTATTCCTTGTTCGAAGAGCAATCCATTGGTGGGGTCACACGTTCGGTTCGAGTCCTGTTTAGCGACTCTGGAGCTCAAAACGCGTCTAGAGTTTTGGCCGCCTCCATCGGTCTTCTGGCCCACTGTGTGCCGGGCCTGCCCTGCGAACAGGCGGATGATTATGCGGCACAGGTGAGAGTGGTGCTGGCTGGGGCGGGGGGAGGGGGGGGGGGCAGGCTTGCCAGCACAGCGGCCTAGCGGACCCGGTATCGCCACGTCAGCGCGCACGCCGAGCGCCGCCGCCCAAAAACGAAGCCATTTAACACGTCGGATTTTATTTCACTTTTATTTGGGAGGAACAATCCACGCACGCGCACCGCAGAAATTCTTTTTTTTTTTTTCAAAATGCGACTTTTTTTTTAATTTTTTTGGCCCTTTGAATAGTAAAACGCACTAATGTGAGTGGCAAGGCAAGGCGCGACTCCGGCAGGCAACTGAAAAGACACACACTTTGAAAAGCTGCCTCTGGAAGTGGCGTATATTTATTTGGTTCCGCAAGCGACCCTCGTTTCTTTCAATTTGGCGCGGTAATGCTGCTCTCCCTCGTCATGCTCTCCCACTCCGGCAATTATGCTCAGCAAGGTAGTCGCTTTGGTGCGAGAGAGACAGGCACACAATGAGCAGCACGGTGTACAGTGCAGCAGCGCAGCCAGCGCAGCCCCGGGGTAATTCAGCCGGCCATTCGCGCAACGCAGCGCGGCACCGTGAATGCTGCTACTTGTTGAAAGAAGGGCCGAGCCGTGGGGCTGCGGCACAGTGGGCCAGAAGACCGGTGGAGGCGGCCAAAACTCTAGACGCGTTTTGAGCTCCAGAGTCGCTAAATGGGACGCGAACCGAACGTGTGACCCCACCAATGGATTGCTCTCCGAACGAGGAATCCATTGGTGGGGTCACAAGCTAGGTACGAGTCCTGTTTGGTGACTCTGGGGCTCAAAACGCGTCCGGGTTTTTGGCCGCCTCCACCGGCCTTCGGGCCCACTGTGCCTCGGTCGGCCGCTGTGTAAGCGGTCGCCGCGGTCGCCAGATTCGCTAATAGGGTTGCCAACTCTTTTCGCTCGCTGTCGCTGCGTTGGTGGCTCCCCTCTGCCGACCCCTTTGGCCCACTTTGCACGATCAACTTTGCACTGCGCGTCCATTCGGCATGAATGTGCCCCGCCCCGTCCAGCCCGGACAAGTTTGTAATTCGATTTTCGCGGGGGGCTGGCTTTGAACAGCCGTGCTGGGACTCGGCGCCGGGGGTACCAGCCTAAAGCACCCGTCCCGTGGCGCGCGCGGCGCGCAGCTCGGCCAGGGATCGTTAACTCGGGTGCGATACTCCAGCTCACCGTTGTAAGCTCAGTTTGGACTCGAATCAAGCGCATCACCCCACCAATGAGTTCCCCTCCGCGCGTCTGGAGTTTTGTCCGCCTCCACCGGTCTTCTGGCCCACTTTGCGTTGGTGAAGTCACGTGACCGATTCGGGTCCTTTCCAAGGACACCGCCGAGGCCGCCTGCTTGGACCGCTTTTTGCCGGGGGCCGTGGAGGACCCCGCCGGCCCTCCGGTGATAGCGTGAAATAGGTGAGGCCGTCAGTAAGGACCCCCGCTTATCGCGTGGCGCGCCGTGGAGCGCGTCGTCTGCGAGGGTCCGCGCCGCACCACCAGGAACCGAACCCCACCCCTCTTTTTCCCCGAGAGCACCTCCGCGCCGTTTTAATGCAGACATGGACGGCATCGGTCGCAAACTCGCTCGGACAAAGTAGGATGCGATTGCGGAGGCGGCGCGGCGGCACGGCGTACTCGCTCCGGGGACGCCGCTCTCCGGGGAGCCCTCGCCGCGCTTAGTCTGTGCGGAACGCCCGTCGGGGCGGGGCGGGGCGGGGCGGGGCGGTCTCTGGTGGAAACGGGGCGCTTGCCGCGCTTGGCGCTTCCACTACCCCGCAGTGGGCCAGAGAACCGGTGGAGGCGGCCAAAACTCTAGACGCGTTTTGAGCTCAAGAGTCGCTAAACAGGACTCGAACCGAACGTGTGACCCCACCAATGGATTGCTCTCCGAACGAGGAATCCATTGGTGGGGCCACACGTTCGGTTCGAGTCCCGTTTAGCGACTCTGGAGCTCAAAACGCGTCTAGAGTTTTGGCCGCCTCCACCGGTCTTCTGGCCCACTGTGTACCCCCCGCGTTCCACTGCGTGCCTGCGAGGCGCTGTTCACACAAAAACGGAAAAGGCGGTGAGGCCGGACTGAACGCGAACGAACGCGAACTCGGTCCGTGTGTGGCACACTGTGTGCCGAGCGCCCGCGAACCGAGCTATAGGCAACCCGCTACGCACGGCTGCTTCGCTCCGCCGCGCGCTGCCTACCTCGCAGGCGCTTCCCAGCTTGTTTTGTAGTTTTTATTTTTTATTTTTTGCAGTGGTCGACTAGTATCCCGAATGAAGTTAATTGCGAACACGCTTTGTACAAGCGTTTTTTTCCGCGCGTTCCCGAACGCCGCATTAAAATTGGCGCTGGTCCGGTTTGTCCCTCTACACGCGTGTTGGACGGTAATGCATCACTGTCGGCCCGCTGGCCCGCTGCAGCCAGCCGATGGTGGATAGGAGGGAGGGAGGGGGGAGAGGGAGAGAGAGAGAGAGAGAGAGAGAGGTTGCATTATTTCACCATTTGGCTCCGCTCCTAAGTGGACGTCTGTGATTTGGCTCGGACGGTCGGACAAACAGACAGACAGACAGACAGACAGACGGACCGTCGCGAGCATTTTCCAGTGCGTTGGTCTACTCCTAGTCAAAGTGGTTCGGTTCCCCAGCTCCAGTATTGATCCCCCACTCACTCCCGGAAATAAATGCTGGCGCGTTTTTTCTTGTTCGTGTGCAGCCGAGCACTAGCGCGTCCTGCCTGGCGAGTGGTGCGTCCCCGGCCTGGCTGCCGGCATGGGTGCCGGCCTGGCAGAAGGATGGATTATTTACAGATGAATTCTCTCGGTCCCGTCCTCTGGCACAGTGGGCCAGAAGACCGGTGGCGGCGGTCGAAACTCTAGACGCGTTTTGAGCACCAGAGCCGCTAAATGGGACTCGAATCGAGGTTGTGACCCCACCAATGGATTGCTCTCTGAACGAGGAACCCATTGGTGGGGTCACACGTTCGGTTCGAGTTCCATGTAGCGACTCTGGAGCTCAAAACGCGTCTAGAGTTTTGTCCGCCTCCACCGGTCTTCCGGCCCACTGTGTGCCGGGCATGATGTGCGTCAGCGTTCTCATTGAGACCCCGTTCGTTTGCCTTGCAGCTCGTCGGCGGGGAGTTCGACATGGAGCTCAACTTCGTGATCCAGGACTCCCACAACATCCGCCACATGCTGGAGCTGCTCGACCACTGCCCGGCCAACCTGCAGGTGAGCCTCTTTGTAACCAGATCGTGTCCAGGGCCATCACAGAAATGCTCAAAAAATTACAGAAATGTTCAGGCAGCGTAAGAGATGTTCAGGCAATGATAGAAATGTTCAAGCAGTTATTGAATTTTTTTTTTACATCCCGTTTTTTTTGTATTCGTTTGGGTTTTCCCCTTGTCTTGTCGGGGCCACACATTTGCTGCGGTGTACTCTCGCCGCGGTGCCCCCGTTGTTGTTTACGCGCGGGGCAGCTTCAAAACAATAGCATCAGCGGGTGACGTCACCGAGGGGGGCGGTTGCCACACACACACACACACACACACACACACACACACACAGTCTAATTACCCACCGCCGCTCTCAAACTTTTAAGTGCCCATGTATAGCATAACCGCGTCACTGCTGCCAACGCACCCAAAAAAAATAATTAAAAAAAGGTCCATTTCCAAGATGGCGGCGAGCAGACCGGCCGGCTACACTAAAAAAAAAAACGATTCCGCCAAAGTTGGTCGTCCTCCGAGCCTGGAGCCGGGTCCGCGATGCTCCGCGAAGCTTCAGGCTTCACATTATGCGGATAGCACGGCAGATTTTCACTCAACTCGCTGGGCAAAGTGGTGGTGGCGCGGCGGGGGCGGCGGGGGCGGCGGGGGCGGCGGGGGCGGCGGGGGCGGCGGGGGCGGCGACGCAGCAGACCAGACCAACCGCCACGAGCGCGCCGTGGCGGCAACACCACCGCCACGGCCACCGCCTGACTTTTTCATGAAATGTTTCAGAAAGGGGGGGGAGGCTCTGAGTGCGCGCTGGATGGAGCAGAGGGGGGGAGGGGTTGTAAAAGATGGAGGTAAGAGAATTGGCGGGAAGGCGATAGTCCGGAAGATCGGTCCGAGCCGACGGGCACGCGTACACACACATACACACACATACACACACATACACACACACACACACACACACACACGTGCGCGTAACAGTGCGTTGTTTTCCGGCCGACTCGTTCTGTCTTGGGGGACGTGTCCTCTACAGTGTGCCGCAGGGTGCCGCACTTTGCCCAGCGGTGCACAGTGGGCCAGAAGACCGGTGGCGGCGGCCGAAACTCTCGACGCGTTTTGAGCTCCAGAGTCGCTAAATGGGACTCGAATCGAGGTTGTGACCCCACCAATGGACTGCTCTCCGAACGAGGAGTCCATTGGTGGGGTCACACGTTCGGTTCGAGTCCTGTTCTGCGACTCTGGAGCTCGAAACGCGTCGAGAGTTTCGGCCGCCGCCACCGGTCTTCTGGCCCACTGTGCGGTGCGTGCGAGGCCCGCGTCGTCCCGTGACGGCCAGGGGAAGGGGGAGGGGGCATCAAATCAAATTTCCCGCCCAAAACGGGGACATGCCTGGCATAGAATGCGAGGGAAAGGGGGGGGGGCATTGGCAGTGCCAGCAGACGCAGCACTGTATTGGCAGAGGTGTGTTGACAGTGGAGTGGCAGAGCCAGGCGGGGCGCTGGCAGCGAGTATCGGCAGTGCCAAGGCAGTGCCAAGGCAGTGCCAAGGCAGTGCCAAGGCAGTGCCAAGGCAGTGCAGCCCCACGGGTGGAAACTTGTTACAGTGATGGGAAACGAGGCTGGCCGGCGAGTTGGAGAAACAAAGGAACACGTCTCGTTTGCACTCCACCCCCTTCCTGGAGCTGCAGACCGATTCCGAGTGTCTGTCTCCCTCGCACTCGGAGGGCGTCCCCTGCAGGTGCGAGAGAGAGACAGCGAGGCGAGACACTTGCCCATGCGCCGCCCGAGAGACCGGCCAAAACAAATGTTTGTTTCGCTTCCCCTTTTTTGGCCGTTTAAGCGGCCCTTTTTAGCCGACCGTCGCCGTCCGTGCCTGTCCAGCGGTCGGCGTCTTAAGACAACACGGGTGGCGACCCTCCCCATACCAGCTTCAAGCCGCCATATCTCGCCGGAGGCAGGCTTATCAAGCAGAAAACTAACTTTTTTTTTTGTAAATGTTTATTTTTTAAATAATGCATTGGAGTGCACTCTAAATGTCTTGCAATGAAATTTGACCTATGTTATTCGTATGTTACAGTGAATTCGGCGCAAGCATAATACGAAGCAATATTTCTTCGTAATACGAATCTTTTTAGATTTATCATTGTAAGATACAAAGAAAAACCTTCGTATTACCAAGAAAAACCACGTTCTCATTATGCTTGCGCCATTTCCTTCGTGTTATGGGAAATTTCTTCGTAAGACATTTTGAGTGTGACGTTCACTGAAAATTAGCACCTTTTTTTTTCGTTAAGTTGGCATACGGACGGACTTGAAAACACACCGCGATAAATGCTTTCCTCCGTCAAGTTGGCTCGACGGCGCGGCAAACGCAACGCGGAGGCTGTTGTGTTGGCTGCCCTGGCGGGCCCTGGCGGGCCTCGTGGCCCCGGCGTCACTAATAGGCCCGTTTGGCGGCGTTTCTCGGTGATTCATCTTTGCATAATGAGAAGCCTGGCGTCGCGGCGTCGCGGCGAAGCGGCAGCCCTAAGCGGTTGGCGCCCCTGGCCGCCCCTGGCTCGTCTGCCCCGTCGGATTACACTGCAGCTGGCGCACTGTAAAAGGCGAGGCAGTCCCATTTGACGCGTGCAGCGCAGCCGAGCCGAGCGCAGCGCCCCTTGCGGCCGCCGGATGAACTAGCCGCGGCGGACTTTTGTTTTGTTGTTGTTGTTGTGCGTGTGGCCGGCTATTTATCGCTATTTTCGGCGCAGAAAGGTGTTGTTGATTTTATTTTTAAGAGGCGTGGCTGTGGACTGGAATCGTCTCTTGTCGCGCCCCGGACCGGTCCGCCGCCGCGCAGACGGCTGCTGGCCCGCTTTTATGGCAGTTTGGGCGAGTTGCCCTCCTCTCTCTCTCTCTCTCTCTCTCTCTCTCTCTCTCTCTCTCTCTCTCTCTCTCTCTCTCTCTCTCTCTCCCTCTCTCTCTCTCTCTCTCTCTCTCTCCTGCCCGGGACAACCATCACCGGGGTGGCTCCGTCCGGGTACCGTCCGGGTACCAAAGGGGTCCACCGCGCGCGGTCAAAGTAATCAAAGTGTTGTCGACTACAATTGCGTCTGGGTGCTGGGCGCTGCGGGCTTCACGTGGCTTCCCTGCTGAACCCAGTGCTGCCACACTGATAGGCAAAAATCCCCGCGAGTGTCGAAAGGGTCGCCACCTCAGCCGTAGGCAACCTCTGGAAGCCCCAGGCGCTGTCCGGTCGGCAGACTGAGGTCGGCGACGGCAAGCCCAACACGGGTGCGACGTGGGCCGAGCGGTGCCGAGCCCAGTCCACTGGAAACACGCCGCGGGGGCGGCGTTGTGGCGCGGGGCATCGCGCGCGTGAAACATTAAGCGGGGCGCTTTAAGCAGTGCTTAGCGCGCTTCGAGCTTCAAGCGGCGCCTACGTCCGGGGCGGGGCGGGGCGGGGCGTTGAACCCGGGCCGCCTCCACCTTCCTCCTCCCACTGTGACTGATGAGCAGGGAGCAGGCAACTGCTGCAGCCGGCCGCCGACGTCATGGTGGCCGTCATGGTGGCCGTCATGGTGGCCGGCATGGTGGCCGGCATGCCGACGGCGGGGATGAATGTAAACAAGGACGCGGATCAGCGAGGGATGAGCGTGTGTGTGTGTGTGTGTGTGTGTGTGTGTGTGTGTGTGTGTGTGTGTTGGTAGTGGGGCTCCGGGCCTCATCACCGAATCTCTTTTGTTTCCTCGTTCGCCAGCAGGGGCGGTGCGGGGCTTAGAGAGCCCCCCCCCCCTTTCCCCCTTTCCCTCTTCGGCACCGCCGCCGTGTTTCAAGGGTGCCGTAACAAGGAGTGGTCGGAACACCTTTAAAAGTAACGGCGCTGCGCTGCCGGCACGCGGGGCGGGGCGGGGTGGGGCGGGGCGGGGCGGGGTGTTCCCGCGCCGAGGTTACACCAAGAAAAAGGGATCACGCCGACACACGCCCCGCCTGGCCCTCAGCCCCTCCAAACTTGTTGTAGCGATTGTCGTAGTTGGTCTGGAATCGCCAGCGCCTTCAGTCCTTCAGCGTCCTTCCTTTGTTTCGCCAGTTTCCTGAGTTTTTTTTTTTTTTTTCATTTTTTGCGTGCTTTTTTTTCACACTTTTTGACCTGCGGCCGAGTCCGGCCGAGTCGGTCTCTCGGTTCGCGGAGTCCGCGTTCCGATATTTATGCGTATAAACCTCCTCTCTGCCTGGAGGCCCGGCCGGGCCCGGCGCCCAGGGACGTTCCCAAACAACGAAAACAACAACAACAACAACAATAGTAATGATAAGGCGCGGTCGCGGCAACACTGGATCGCTTGTTTATCCCGCCGATTTATTTCCGATGGGCCGTTTCGGCCATCCCACCTGAATGGCGCAGTTTGGCGACAACGCCGCCACCCGCAGCGGCCGATCGCAGGTCAGCCACACGCAAAAAAAAAAAAAAAAAAAAAAGTCGAACACAACGAACAGCCAGCTGCGCGATACTGCCCACCCTTCCCGACCTACCTACACTCTGCGGACACATCGGCACCCCCTCTCCCCCCCCCCCTCTCCCGGAGGAGGGCCCGTCTATAAATAATGTGGACTCGTGATGGCAGCACTGCGCCCCGAGGGAATGCATACCGCTCCCGTATTTTTGTCGCCGCTCCGGGAAGGGGGGTGGGGGTGCGCACCGCAGGGCCGGCACCACACCCAAGTGTGTTCCATTTTCACGAGAGAGTGGATGTGTCTGCGACACGGTGAAACCTCCCTTGCTTTCCCGCTCTCTCTCTCTCTCTCTCTCTCTCTCTCTCTCTCTCTTTCTCTCTCTCCCTCGGCCCCGGGGTGCTGCGTGCGTGGACTGGGGGGGAAAAGCCGAGCTAGTTAGAAGGGGCCGCACTTCCCCGGCAGCCGGTTAAGGCCGCTGGATTTCGGGAGGCGTCGCGTCGACGTGGACCCGGCAGCAGACTGATTCCGAGAGTCGTTTTCGTCGCTCTGTCTCTCTCGCGCTCGAAGGGCGTGCCGAGGGGCG